AATAGAAATGCGACAGAATAAGAGAAAATACAAGTGATTTTGTCATAGAACGTGACGAAAGTAAATATTTCTTCTCTACGGTACATATCTTCGTTACATTTTCTCACTTTATGTTACCTGTAGAGGACAGTAAGCATTATATATGTTCCATCTATATCTTCTTTCGTTCTGCTATTATGTCTGAATGCGTATGTCCTCTTTTCTAGTATATTTCGATACATTCGTTTTCTGTTTTCGGTCTTTCTGTATGGCTCATGTGTGTTCTCTCTTGTATTGTCCAATGAGTTCTCATTTCCTTATTATGTTCCTTGAAACTATAAAGCTTTGTATGTGTGCCATCAAATAATAATTCTATCTGACTAATAGCTAGCTAGTAATCGACTATCTAAAATCTGACATCAGACAAATTATCCTATAATTCACTATCTTCAATCAGTTCTAGCAAAGAATAAATTGTATTTAATCTTTATAAATGTTTTGATTATATTTTGAAAAGAACGTCTCATATATTTGAAACGGAAATGATATTGAGTCATGATGACGAATTAGATGATCATACGTTAGAAGATCTATTACAATTAGTATCCACATATCACCATATCGTTGGATATAGTGTAGATGTCGGAAGGTGAATGTTTCTCTAATCTAACCTCACACTCATATCTGTTTCTAACTTTTGGACCTATGCCCGAACACACGTGGCTCAATAATTTTTTTGGAAGTTGATTTGAATCTATTTCAGAATACTAAAGACTTTTGTTTCACATTTCAAACAAATGTTTGTCATGAAAAAGTTGTATTGATGGGTCAATGATTCGTTGATCTTGGTACAACTAGAACTGTGGTTCACTCATTTTTCTGAATTATCATTATCATTAGACTGATCAATTATTTTCTTGATTTTTTGTTTCATTTTCATTTCCTGTATCATTTTAATTTTCTTATTAAGTAAACAAGTAACGCTCGTCTGTAGACTCGCTTAGCTCTTTCTCGTAGAAGTGCTGTTTCTAAACTGTTAACAATTTATTTATTTACGTGGTTCCACGATTCGAAATCAGCACATTCACACTGCATTATTCTGCCAAGTGCATCTATCTACACGTTTGAGTTTAGCATTCTGAGCAGAAAGTTGGGCTGATTTTTTTCCAACACTATGATGAGATTAGTAAACTTTATTATCCGCTACTCTTGCCACCTAAATCTCATCATCGATGATAGATTCTGGCTTTTACCTCGAATATCTGTGACCAACTTTTTTTTATAAAAAAAATAACCTTCCTAGACCGAATTACGGGCCAGAAAAATCTGATTGGTTGAATTGCTCCCTCCCCCCCCACCTGAAATCCTATTGGTTGAAACCGCAATGTCAAAAAACCTGATTAGTCGAAATCCCGACCAAAAATAACCTTCCTAGATCGAATTACGGGCCAGAAAAATCTGATTGGTTGAATTGCCCCCCCCCCCCCCCCCGAAATCCTATGGGTTGAAACCGCAATATCAAAAAACCTGATTAGTCGAAATCTCGACCAAAAATAACCTTTCTAGATCGAATTACGGGCCAAAAAGATCTGATTGGTTGAATTGCCCCCCCCCCCCCCTAAAATCCTATCGGTTCAAACCGCAATGCTGGAAAACCTTATTAGTCGAAATCCCGACCAAAAATAACCTCTGATTATCCTTCGGTGAACCCTTATGTTCTTTTGACCCTCTGCGGACACACAAGCAATCAGACAATTTATGTTTGCAAGACTCTTCTCTACGAGAAAGAGAAAAAAGTTAGCTAACGATCTTCTATTTTTATATGACAAGAAACGATACGTAAGATGAGTTTCTAAAAAGCCAGTTTGTGAAAAAATTACTTTATTGAGATATGGACAATAGGACGAATCCTTTTGGAGTTTTTTTTTCCTACTCTGTGAGTTCTACTAATGAGAAAACTATGAGGTCAAACAGAGGGTATTTAGAAATATGATATTCGAGTGAGGGAATATTGGTCAGTTTGATTTTTATCTCAAAGAAAGCCAATTTTATGAAAATAACAATTTTGTATAAACTTTGATCATACGTCTTTAGAGTCGAGGAATCCAAAGGAGAGGCGCAAAAAGAAGACAAACCGGTTGACTTCGGAACTCTCAAAAGAAGTACATATTTCAATGCAGAATAAGCTAACAAATCATTTGATACCACATTCAAACTATTTGAGAAATAATCTAATGACTTCTGACGCAGAGTGCTATACCATATTTTCACTGCATCCAGATGGTTGTATACTAACAATAAGTTTGTCAAAGCATCTAATAGTAAATATAAGCTCAATTTATGGTGAGCTAAAAGTGTTTCTATCGATATTTCAGGTATGTCATGAGAGTTTAGGAGTCTCAATTGCTTTCGAAGTGGCTTTTACGATAGAGTGATACAGTTTTTGAATGATTGCAGGCTAATGTAGTTTTTTTTCTGGAAATGATCTACGATGATTAGTGAAGTTTTGTCATCTGTATATTTATGATATCCACAAGAAAATTGTGCCGATGTGTAATCTGTCAAAAACTGCATCAAACTCTTAAGAGAAATACTATTAGTTCATTATAAATTCATCTTATGTTTCCTATTTCTGGATGATTCATATGAGAATTTATGCAGAATTTGCTACTCTTTCAAATGAAACTATTTATGGGCAGATGAACAAATGTTTTGGCAAACTTATTGTTAGTATATGGCCATCTGAATGCAGTAAAAATGTGGTATAGTAATCTGCATCAGAAGCCATCGAATCGCTTCCTAAATAATTTGAATGTAGCATTCAACGATTCGTCGTCTCATTCTGCATTGAAATATATACTCGTTTTGAAAATTCTGAGATGGGCCGATTTGTCTTCTTATGTGTTCCTCTCTTTTATTAATGGCTTCTCGAAATGTGTAGCCTTAAGACTTGCACTCTGGAGAGACTGTTTCTTGAAAATAACGATACTAGTAACTCTGAACAACCATGAATGGATTTGAACTCCTCGCCCACCGAAATCATGTGATCAAACTTCAAACATATGATTGTTTTCGTAAAACAAGTTTTCTTAGAGCGGAAAATTAAACTGACATATTTTCTTTTATCCAATAAGATAACTTGTCAGCAGCGGTAATTTGTCTCCTTAGTCCTCTGATTAAATACAAAGTGTTTATTAATTACTGGCAAATATTACTTACCACTTACTGTTACATAATAATCGATACCACCAAATACTTACCTAACCAGTGATAAGTGATAAAGATTATGATGCAACAATGAAGAACCTATGCTTATGCTAAGTGTTTATTACTGCTATATAGGACATTTTTCAATCATAAAAACATTTAATATTACTTTGGTAAGTAGAAGTCTAAGTAATAATGAGCGTGACACTTCCAAAGATATTAGTTGATGAATTTTCTCCGTGAATTGTTTTTTTTTTGTAAGTTATACCTGTTATATTCATATGTCCTAGTAGCCCACCGTGTACTAAAAAGTTAAATGATGATATTTTGGCTTGATATTCTCCTCCCGTACATCTCCCATAATTATCAGAATATCATGAATGTTCCAGTGTTAATCCTTCGAACTTGATCATCTGAAGAAGGCATACCTTTTTCGTTGAAACTTTCACAATATACTGGAAACTGCATAGCTGTGATGATTTAGGTCTAGCAATAAATGAATCCAAGGATAATAAACGAGAATGTTGGAGTGATCTCGTCGTTTAGAAAAATAAAAACCATCATATAGCTATAGAGGCCATATTATAACAAATGCAGTACGATCAGACAATAGGAAATCACAGGTTCATATAGACAATATCGAAAATGAATAATCGCTCAATTCGTCAAGCAAATACTATTAATAAAACTCTGTTGAACTATCCATTGTATATTCCCAGATACAAGCGGAAAACCTGCCCTATCCTGACTGTTACTGTTAATTATAGATGCACAACATTCATGACGCAATTAGAGAATTGTTGCAACACAACGTCACTAGTATTCTTTTAATTTCGAAACACTTTAGAATTTTTGCCATTACGGTATATTTGTGCCCGATGGCATGTCATGTCATGGAAGAACCTGTAAGATAGAAATGATAGTGGTTTTGGTCATATAGTTAGAATCAGTCTATGATCCTTACTTAAATAATATTAGTTGTGATATCTGCTATTTAAAAGTCACTATACGCTTCGTGAACGAATTGTCAAGGAAATGAAAGAGAGAGTACAATGATTAATCTGAATGATGAGTTTCGTGAGATTCAACGAGGTTCTGTTGAAAAGTACTGGTTTACATCTCGATTTGATTGCTATCATCCGACAAATTTCAATAGGATATCATCGAAATTATGGGAATTTGATACAATCCACTAGGGATAATTCAACCATAGTAGCTGATCAGTCTTTATTTCTTTGCTGTTGTGTTACTTAGTTGCAAAATGTGAACTTAATTTTAAAGCAACGGCTCGAAATCCAATTGACTATAAGAGTGGTCCACGATCCGTTGCCATGGGTGACTTTAACAACGATACTTGGCTAGATATTGCCGTTGCCAATTATGCTGCTGACAGTATATCTCTATATTTTGGATATGGCGATGGCACTGTGGCAAGCCCAGTCACGTTTTCGACTGGTTATGGCTCTGCTCCATACATGATTGCTGTTGGTGATTTCGACAATGATCATCGACTGGATCTTGCGATCGCAAACTTCGGTACAAACAGCGTCGGTGTACTTCTTAGATTCCAAAATGGGACTTTTATGAGCCAAACAGTGCTTTCAGTTGCATCATCTCGTCCCATTTGGATCCATGTAGCAGATCTCAACAATGATGCAGCACTAGATATTGTCACTGCTAACTACGGCACACACAGTGTAAGCATATTTTATGGATATAGAAATGGAAGCTTTTCAAATCCAAGCACGTTCTCTACTGGCTATGATTCTTTTCCATTTGCGGTGGTCAGTGGCGATTTTAATAATGACAAACAGATGGATCTTGCTATCGCAAATTATGGTACAAACAATGTTGGTATACTCCTTGGAACTAGTAACAGTACTTTTGCAAATCAAATCACGTTTTCAACTGGTCCGAATTCCCATCCATACTCGCTTGCTGTTGGTCATTTAAACGACGACGCCAAGCTAGATATTGCCATCGCTAACTATGGCAATAACAGTGTAGGCGTGCTTCTGGGTCACGGTAATGGGGCTTTTATGAGTCAAATGACTTATTCCCTCAGTGCTGCTTCTCCATATTCTATTGGTATTGGTGACTTCAACAACGACAATCGAATGGATTTAGTTGTAACCAATAATGGTACTAACAATACAGCTCTACTTGTCGGATATGGCAACGGTACCTTTGCAAGCCCAAAAATGTATTCAACTGGATCTTCTTCATCAATCTCCATTGCCATAGGTGATTTAAACAGAGATAATCGTTTAGACATTGTCATCATCAATAATGATACGAGCACCATAAGTATCATGCTTGGTTATGACGAGTTTTTTCCCATTCAAAGAACATATTCAACTTCCAGTGTGCCATATTCTGTAGCTGTTGGTAATTTTAATAACAACACCCGACTGGATATCGTCGTTGCTATTTATGGTGACAACACTATAAGTGTTCTTCTTGGATATGCAAATGGCACTTTTGCAAATCAAACGAAGTATTCAACTGGCTCTGCACCAATCTCTACAGCTGTTGGTGATTTTAATAATGACACCCATTTGGATATCGTCATCGCTAATCTTTATGGCTACACTGTAAGTGTCTTTCTCGGATATGGAAATGGCTCTTTTGCAAATCAAATGAAATATTCAACTGGCTCTCAGCCACTCTCTGCAGCTGTAGGTGATTTTAACAACGACACCCATCTGGATATCGTCGTTGCTAATTCGGATGATAACACTATAAGTGTACTTCTCGGATATGGCAATGGTTCTTTTGCAAATCAAACGACATATTCAACTGGTTCTCTACCATCTTCTGCAGCTGTTGGTAATTTTAACAATGACATCCATCTGGATATCGTCGTTGCTAATTGGGGTGACAAGACTATAAGTGTCCTTCTCGGGTATGGCAATGGCTCTTTTGTGAATCAAATGAAACATTCAACTGGCCATCAACCGTGGTCTGTAGCTGTTGGTGATTTTAATAATAACACCCGACTGGATATCGTTGTTGCTAATGCGGGTGACAATACTGTAAGTGTATTTCTCGGATATGGAAATGGCTCTTTTGCAAATCAAACGACATATTCAACTGGCTCTAAGCCAGAATCTGTAGCTGTTGGTAACTTTAACAACGACAACCGACAGGATATCGTCGTCGCTAATTTTGGTGATAACACTGTAAGTGTACTTCTCGGATATGGAAATGGCTCTTTTTCAAATCAAATGAAATATTCAACTGGCTCTGGTCCACAGTCACTAGCTGTTGGTGACTTTAACAATGACACCCGACAGGATATCATCGTTGCTAATTTGAATGACGCCAATGTAGGTGTACTACTTCGGTATGACAGAGGAGCTCTGAAAGACAAAATCACATTTGCATCTGGCGATGATTCTCGTTTGCGAAGCTTTGCCGTTTTTGATTTCAATAACGATAACCTATTGGACATCGTCGTGGTCAATTACGGTACTAATAGCATAGGTATTCTTCTTGGACATGGGAATGGCACGTTTGGAAACCAAATGGTGCTCTCAACAGGCGTAAATTCTCATCCTTACTCCATCTCTATCCATGATTTCAATAAAGACGGTCAAGCAGATATAGTTGTGGCCAATTATGGTAGTAAAAAACTTGTTACATTTCTGGGAAGTGGGAACGGCACATTTGAAAATCGAGGAAGTTACGGTATAGACTTCGATTTTCCTCCATTGGTAGTTGGTGCTGGTAGTGTCAACAAAGATGGACATTCAGAAATTATTGTCGCATATGATGGCATCGATCATGTAGATGTGCTTGTCACATACAATCTCGGGTCTTTCGATCATCACATGACATATTCAACTGGTCCTTGGCCACGGTCTGTAGCTGTTGGCGATTTTAATAACGATACCCGATTGGATATCGTTGTCGCTAATCAGTACGACAACACTGTACACATCCTTCTCGGATATGAAAATGGCTTTTTTGCAAATCAAGCGAGATATTCAACTGACAACACACCATGGTCTGTAGCTGTTGGTGACTTTAACAACGACACTCGACTGGATATCGTAGTCGCTAATAATGGTGACGACACTATAAGTGTCCTTCTCGGATATGGCAATGGCTCTTTTGTGAATCAAATGAAATATTCAACTGGCCATCAACCGTGGTCTGTAGCTGTTGGTGATTTTAATAATGACACCCATCTGGATATCGTCATCGCTAATCTTTATGGCTACACTGTAAGTGTCTTTCTCGGATATGGAAATGGCTCTTTTGCAAATCAAACGACATATTCAACTGGCTCTTACCCATTCTTTGTAGCTGTTGGTGATTTTAACAACGACACCCATCTGGATATCGTCATTGCTAATAGTGGTGACGAGACTATAAGTGTCCTTCTCGGATATGGCAATGGCTCTTTTGTGAATCAAACAACATATTCAACTGGCTTTCGGCCAGGCTCTGTAGCGGTTGGTGATTTTAATAACGACACCTATCTGGATATCGTCGTTGCTAATAGAGGTGACAAGACTATAAGTGTTCTTCTCGGATATGGAAATGGCTCTTTTGCAAATCAAACGACATATTCAGCTGGCTCTGGCTCATACAATGTAGCGGTTGGTGATTTCAATAACGATGCTCATCTGGATATCATCGTCGCTAATTATAATGACAACACTATGAGTGTCCTTCTTGGATATGGCGATGGCTCTTTCGCAGATCAAATGACATATTCAACTGGCAGTAGTCCTTCTTCTGTAGCTGTTGGTGATTTTAACAATGACACTCGATTGGATGTCGTCGTCGTTAATAGTAATGAGGCAAGTGTTAGTGTACATCTCGGATATCCCAATCAAGGTTTTCTGAACCAAATGAGGATCATAACTGGGAATGGATCTCGGCCTAAGTCATTCGCCATTGGAGATTTTAACAATGATAGTCAAATAGATATTGCAGTTGCGAATTCAGGCACTAACAACGTCGGGATTTTTCTGAGATATGACAATGGTTCTTTCGCAAATCAAATGACATATCCAACCGATTCCTCTCCATGGGCGGTAGCTGTTGGTGATTTCAACAACGATACAATACTTGACATTGTTACCGCGAATCATGGCAATGACACTGTTGGTATATTTCTTGGATGGGGTAATGGTTCTTTTTCAAGCCAAAAAACGTTTACGACCGGCGTTAACTCTCAACCGAATGCGGTTGCCGTTGCTGATTTCAACAACGACACCTTGCTAGACATTATTGTCGCCAATTATGGCACAAGCAACGTCGGTGTGTTGCTTGGATATGGTAATGGCTCCTTCGCTGATGTAAAAATTTTTTCAATCGGTTATGGCTCTCTTCCGTTCTCAGTTTCCGTTGGTGATTTGGACAATGATGGAAAGCTGGATTTCGTCGTCGTCAATGAAGGAGCTGACAATCTAAAAATTTTCTTACAGATTTGTTAATGTCGCAACTCCTTCCTTGAACTTTTTTAAATTTCATTCACTGTTTCTAACTTCTACTTAGTCTCATTAATATTTCTTGTAATCTTTTCTTATTCATCTTTTAATTTCTATACTCAAATAAACTGTAGTTGAGAGTGGGTGCCCCAACCAAAGTATGACGCGTTTCTACTCCGTTTAAGGATCTTATCATACAGTGCTGACTAAGAATCCGTTCAAATGATTAGGAATATCAAAAGTGTGATACATAGTCTATAATTTTCATGGTAAATTCTCGAAAGACTCCCCATCATAATAGCAGATGTCGTTACTACAATGATGAGTGAAACAAACTTGGAGGCGTTCGAACCTTGCTTAAGAGTCTCATCATGGTGGATAAATCAATCGAAGCACAGATTGGCCTATATGTCTATGCGACAAATCAATCTGCTGCTATCAACTCTTAGGGTGTGGGTGTGGGTGTGGGGTGTGAGTGTGGGTGCGGGTGTAGGTGTGGGTCAAAGTATTCCATTCACCCACACCCACACTCATACCAACATCCACACCCTCCTTAAGCATAAACTTTATTGATTGAATCATTTGTTATTGCTCTATGGTCTTGCACCGAAATAAATAGCGCGCGCAGAGTGTGTCATAGCGTATTTTACTCATCTCGAAAAACATATGTTCCTAATTTCAAAGATCCGGAAATAATCGCTTTTTCTAGAATATTTTTCTTTTCATGGTTCCCTCGTATAAATAAACTCGAGGAATTTGTTTTGAGTCAAATGTTCATATTATTTTAAAACTGTTGAAGAGTTAAATTTCTAATGATGCAATACAATGATTCATTTTCATATGCATCATTCTTCGAACAAAGAGAAAATCTTTTCTTCTTTCCAACTAAAATGACGCAAATATGAGTCAATTTCTGCATATTAATAAATGGCAAGAAACTGAGAAGAACTCCATTTACAAATACAAGAACAAACTTTATTTATTTTTCCAGGTAGGAGTTTTCTCCTAAAATGCTCATAGAAGTGGCAAAAAAAAGTCGTTTTTGATCAAATAATCATTCAACTTGTCTTCGATTGTTCGATCTACGGATGCGTTATTTTTGGTTATTGAGAGTAAAATTAGAAAATTTTTTACAAACGAAAGTTAAACGCAAGAAAAACTTCATCAAGAGGACAGATATCCTTTTTGGCTAAGGGAGAGATGTTTACAGAGGATACAGAATCACTCACAAAGGAACAATGACATCCTTATGGCTACATCACTACCAACTACTCTCAAAAGCCAAAAATATATGATCAAACTTTTTGCATTGCAGCTGATAGTGAAGTAAAAAGGTACGAGTAGAGATGTCAATTTAAATCTTTTATCTTCTTTTCTAATTCGAAAGTCTTAGTCGTTTATTGTTGATCGTCAAATGGTGAAAAAATTTGATTCCTGATGATATTAATAGGCCAATGATGATTTACAGTCTGTAGATGGCACTAAGGGACGACTAGAGGTCTTGCATAATCGTCAGTTAGTTATTTCAGTACTTTCTTGTAGCAACTAGTTTTTTTTTATATTACTGTGATGGAATATAGGACAGAAATATCAAAATTGGAATATATATTCAGTAATGCCGTTTTGAATAACGCAGTAGTCGACACATCCAATCGTTTTCTTATATCAATTTTTTTCCCACTGTTATTTAGAATTAGTCATTCAGAAATTTCTCAATCTGTATGCAAGTCTCGTTTCCAAGTGGGTTAATATATATACAATCAACATTAAGATAAACAACTTTTCCTGATTGAAACAAGCGAAAGAAGCAGCTCACTGAAATCACTCCAATACTTCAAAAGTAAACCATTGTTTATAGTGCTATCCATGCTATCGACAAGAAAAAATATTGATTTGTCAAAATGTATCGATGAGAAAAAACGAAGCTCTACTTGGAAAAATGAAATCTATCGTCGTGTAGTTGATGTTTGTAAACAGTTGAAGAAGCAAAGTGTTCATTCATCCATTCTTATCAATGCAGCTGGTTTCACATACACCGGCATTGATGATACTGCTCGTTGTCTCATATGTGGTCTAGAAGTATCTGAATGGACAGCACATATGAATCCATTTACTGTTCATGTTCAACAAAGTCCAAATTGTTCATTTGTGCAATCTATTGTATCAAAGAATCGAATGAATTTTTCTTCTTCAGATGGTTCAATAACAGAGAACCAAAACTTTGAATTATCACAACATAAAAAAATCGATCAAAAGATTGACTATTGCCTGATAGAAGTAGAGATAATGAAAGAAATTCGTTGTCGAACATTTTCACATTGGCCTCATCAGAACGTACTATCTCGAACACAAATGACTTCGGCTGGATTTTTTTATTGTAATGTTGGTGATCGTGTCATTTGTTTGTATTGTAATTTAATTTGTCAGCAATGGACACCACATACTGATGATCCAGAAGAAGTACATCAAACTCTTTCACCTCTATGTCCATATGTTTTATTTCTTTTAAAAACTCATCAAACATCAACTGTATCAATTCTTAATGATAGGACAAATAATCGAGCAGTAACATCTAATCTATTACGATTTAATGAAATAGTTCAAGCATCAGCATCACATAGAGCCTATATTGAAATTTCGAAACGTCAAACATCATTTAATTCTTGGCCTCAAGAAGAATTACCTTCTGTAGATGATCTTGTTCGAGCAGGATTTTTTTATACTGGTTCAAAAACAATTGTTACCTGTTTTTATTGTAATGGATCACTTCAAAATTGGGGTCCAAAAGATAATCCATTGATTGAACATGTACGTTGGTTTCCACTTTGTGCCTATGCTAAACAATTATGTGATGATGAACTTTATCGAAAAGTTCAAGAATCAAAACGAATTCATCAAGGTTTGTTTGTTTGTTTTTCTATTCGAGAAATGATACAAGTTAAAATAAAAATCTATTGATTTATTTTGTAGAACGCACTAGAACAAATCAAATAGAGAAAAATGGAAATTTTTCAAACGATCATTCAACAAATAATTCTCAATTAGTAATTCCTGATGAGAACACATTGTCACGATTTGTGGCGGCTCGACTTGATTTGCCTATTTCACAAAGTTTACTCAATCAAAATTTCAAATTATCAGTTATAAAACGTTGTTGGGAGGATCAACTAAGATTAAAGCGTTCGTAAATTCAATTAAATTTAAATTCTTCTATTTTTCTTGTTTAGAAAATGATTTTACAACTGATTGTGATTTATTAATTGCTTGTATTATTCTTCAAAAACAAATCGATCATATCAATGGTCGTCAAGAAAACATTATTATACCGAGTATCAAGATGAAAATAATTCGTGAGAAAGAACAATCTGGTATGTTGTCAGTTATTTGCATGATCATATTATTACTCATTTGTAAATAAATAGGTTCATCATTGTCGTCTACACCACCAATGAACAAATCATCTTCATCAAATTCATCGAATATCAATAACACAGTTGAATCAAAATCAACGATTGCAACGACCGACAATCAATCAAAAACTAGTTCGACAACGGATATTGTGTCGTCGAATTTGTGTATACTTTGTTTGACAGAAGATAAACGTCTTGCATGTATGCCATGTGGACATTTAGCAACTTGTGTTCCATGTGGTCATTCACTTCGAACATGTCCAGTTTGTCGAAAAGAAATAGAGGCTTTTGTACGCATCTACATTTAAAGTTTGACACTCTATAGAATGTCACGAAAAACTGTTCTATTTTTTCTATCAATTAAACTAGAATTCTTTTGATTGATATATCAGTTTATCAATAAGTTATACAAGAAAAAAATTTCAATGAATTTGAACTCTTTTCATTTTTGAATATTTGATGCTACAATCGAAAGTATACTTATTTGTGTTTTTTTCTCGTCATATGCTTCAAATTGAGTTTCATGACAGATGCTATGCTTAACACTGGGCCGTTGCATCTTCAGCCCTTTTAAACATCCGCTATTCGATTGTTCAAACTCAACCATATTTCGCATACTGAAAATAGTTCATACTGTCCGATCAACAAGTACGTAATTCGTCACTTTTACAACGTACTTCATTTCAACAAGAAGTTTATCGCCTAAAGTCGACCAGAATTCTAAACAAGGGTGTGGATGTGAGTGTCCATCATCTGTCAATTAACAGCCACACTCGTCTACATCTACCTCCCACACTTTTCTTTAATTTTACTAATGATGATAAACGTCGAAGTAAATTTCGGGGTGTGGGTGTGGGTGGGTGTGAGTGGGGTGTGGGTGGGTGTGTGTGGGTGTGGGTGGGTGTGTGGGTGTGGGTGTGGGGTGTGAGTATACAGAAAATGAATATTCACACTCACACCCACACCCACACCCACACTCACACCCACACACCCTCACCCACACTCACACCCACACCCACACACCCTCACCCACACCCCACACCCTCACCCACACCCCACACCCCACACCCACACCCACACCCACACCCACACCCTTATGAATATCATCTGTATGCTTAATACTGCTACGGACACTGAAGAACCTAACCAAATGATCCGATAGGTTAATGGATGTCCCGTACCGATAATGCATCACAGTAGTAATAAGGCTGTACCTGGCACTCGAGGAACAGTTAATAAGGCAACATTAATAAGAATTTGTTTGATAGCGATTAAATCTCATTTCTATCATCGCATCACTGCTATTGTCTGATTATTACTTTGATGACGAATAAATATTGTAATATGAAAATATATCAGACATAAAAATAACATAGGTAATCCATATGCTGTAAGTGCAGTCCAAATGAAAGCACAAAATTTGGATAATGCAACAGTACAATAGTATTCGTCAGGTAAGTAGGCAATATCGTGCCAGATCAGACGAGGACATAGAATGGCAAAAGTTACTATCAACTGAGTAGGCATCAAAATGACATAAAACCAGAAAGATTGAAGTCATCTACGATTTGAATACACAAGACGACAAATACGATAGAAACCCTAAAAAATAACATGATATAGAATATTATTCAAATTTGATACGACATCTATACATCGAGAGTAAACAACTGACTTTCAGAACTTCAAAAGATTTGAAAATTTTTAAACAACTACACAAAACTTAACGAGACTTTGTTGTGTATTAAAACTTATGACTTCAAGATAGAAATACCTTTCGTGAGCAGTCACAGTGACTTAGCAGATCTTATCTAGAAAGCATGATTAAACTCCATGAGTTTTCACAAAGTTTTAGCATCCACAAATGTATAATTTGATAGTCTAAATGAATCTGATGAATTGATAAGAATAAAATCCAGTTCAATAGAGTGGAAGCTATGAAATAAAAAAAGTTTTTTTGAATTTTGTTACGGCAATGATAGGTTCAAAATTATTAAAACTGAAGAAGTTTTATATTGATGTCTATATTACAAAATATGATTATTACCCATGTCGTCAAAATCGCCTAAGTTTTCACGATTACTCGCGATTTTTCAGAATACTAACAATTAATCGTGATTAATCACCAGTATTCTGGAAAATCGCGATTAATTGCCAGTACTTTGAAAAATCGCAATTAATCGCCAGTGTTCCGAAAATTACGATTAATCGATAATATTTTATATCAGCGATATATCGCGAATAAATCGGCGGCTAATTTAGCCTAATATTTGACTCGAGTTAAGAAATTATAGCAATGCTTAGTCATTTTTCATATTATCAAAGCCGCATTCATTTAGATGATTAATGAGAACACCAAAAACTTCAGCGATTAATTGTGATATTTCAAAAACAGGTATTTTTTGTCATGTAAATAGAAAAATAAACAGAACATATTATTTTATTGGAATTGAAAGTATTTTTTGGCTCTTTCTATGAAAATATTTCCATAATTTCTATACCGAAGTTGTAGAGCGAAAATTCAGAATGAAAATTTAGGGGTAGGCAGATTTTAACTAATAAGAACAAATACAACCCTTGTTATTCTTTGATTCTTTCATAGTGTACGTTATTTTGTTCTATTCAGAAAGGTGATCGTATCTCTATATTTTTTGAGCAATAGATCGTGTTTTTCTGCCATGTTTAATCCAAGCATTTTTCAAACGATTGTTGGTGCTATCTTATGAATGTCCATATATTTATCATAAGATAAATAATTTTTTTAAATATTTTATACTTATAATAATAAAACTGAGTAGTCTTTGCATAATCAGATTTTAAAAATACAATTTTTGTAAATTGACTCATTTAAATTAAAAATTATAATACTAATATTCAGTTTATTGTATGTATAAATTTAATCTATTTTTTTATAATTAATTCACTACATTTTTATATGAATTATGAAAAAATTATTTATCTTTGTTTTTAAATAATAGGAGAATGATATCTCTAATTTTGCTCATAAATTTTCGTGAAGCACAAAACTTTGATTTAACAGAAGTAGAAAATTCAACAGAATCAAGAATAAGTAAGAATAGTTCAATGGCATATTCTCCGCTTCGAAATTACAACTTCGTTCGGTCGAATCCGCTCTACGGTAAAAAAGAAAATTGTATGGAATGCTTCTAGCTGGCTATGAAATAAATTGTGAGAAGAATCAGGTTTACGAAAATGTATGCGAATAGTAAAAACAGAGTTCAGGATCAGGATTATCTCAAAAATAACTTCTTCAAAGATAGATATATTACAGCATCGCTCTTTTTGCTTAAAAGTGCGTTATTACACGCAACTTTGAGATTGCTTTTATGAGTCTAGCGAAAATATGCGAACCAAACAAGAACGGTTTTCAATGCAGATTTTTATAAAAGTTTTTCTCCTGGATAGTCATAGTCCCAAATTCTAATTTTATGAACAGGTTCGACCATTGAAAATACTATTAGAATAATCGCGATTTTTCACGAAAATCAGTAAAAATCACTAGTTTCGGTGATTTTATCGTGATATAATCTCACGATTAATCGCTCTAATATTTTGCGATAATATCATCGATTTTCGAGCGATTTCCACCACATGGGTTGTTATATTTCTTACTAATAAAACTATTTTTAAACTTTTTGAACATGATTAAATACAATTCACATGCATCCATAATTATCTGAATACCAAATGCCTGATATAGAGTAGAAATTATGACAATAATAAGATAACCTCCAAATGTACACCATAATGAATCGAAGTTTCCTCCATATATATCACCTAATACTGTTTGAATATTGAATGAAACTAATGTCACCATATAAATGAAATATGAGCAACAAGAATAAGATTTATTCTCTCTTCTCATTTCAAACGATTATGATATTGATGATAGATAATAATAATAATAGAGACACTAAGTGAAATGATACTTGCAACTAAACCATGAATAATCGAAATTAAATTAGTATAAAACCAATGAATCCAAGTTCCATTGTGAAAAATAAATTAAAATAATGCAAACTTTATTAAAAAAAAAAGAAAGGACGAAGAGATTCGATAGAAATTTTTAGATTAATCTAATTATGTCATGAAAAGCTGCTTAAAGAAATCTATTAGAAATGAAATTGTTTTCATGATAAAACGAGCGCTTTCTTGAATGCTTTCAGACTTATTATCGTTTTTCTTTTTGACTTTCTATTTTGATAAAAAGGAATTAATCTTATATCTAGAAGATTGCATGCAAATGATATGAAATCAACAACACGCTATAAACAATCACAATGCAAAATAAATCAATAGAATCATACAATGAGAATGACGTAAAGACAGTAAAGGAAAAAGAATTTGTAAAACTTTACTTTTTTCTGTGTTACTCACATTTTATTTTCAAAAACTACTTAATTTTGTATTAAAATTTATTTTCAGAAAATATCATAAACATTACAAGTCTAAACAAGACAACGAATGACATTCTCTTTCTAGCATTAGGACCTGACGGTTTCGAAAGGATAGAACCGATAATTAAACTGAGATTGGAATTTTTTTACAGCTTCTCTTACTAAGAATCGAAACAAAATTTTTGAAATAAATGACAAAGAGACAGAGAAGATGGAATTCTTTTCGTGACAAATACTTATGTCAGTCGAAAAGTAGTGGCGGAGGCATATCAATTCCTTAGAGAAAGCTCTGAGAAACTTTTTTTCTATAGAGTCTGATAGAGAAAAGAAAGGTCTATTTTTCTATGCTATTTGATCATACTTTAACTAATATGATGATAATAAATTTTTGATAAGACTTTTTTCGTTAACATGTTTCCTCGTTGTAAGTTGTACGTCGCAGTTTTCAATTTCTTATTAGTTGCATTAACAACCAAAATATGCCATAAGATGCAACATAAAAAGCTCTACAATTTCCATAAGACTACTTACTTTCTAGTTGCACATTTTGTTCTTAAAATAGACTAAATTTTGAGGGCGTGGGTGTGGATGACGATGAAAAACCCAAAACCACACCCATCCCACACCCTAAACTTTTGTTTTATGTCTCACGAGTTTTAACTACATCTTCGGATTAGCGCGAAAAATCTGTTCATAGTTGATATAAACAATTGAAAAGTAGTTACACTCTTAATAGGGAAAAAATATCATCTTTGAAACTATGATTTAAGAATTAGTTATAATCTCTACCTACTATGAAAATGCTGATTGATCGTTTCATCAGAAAGTATATTAGGCTCTTAAAATAATTTAATTTTGAATATTTAGAGTAATCAATTGGCTATAACCAA